CACTCTCTGGTCATAGAAACAAAGGAAGAAGGTAAGGGAGGAGAGTGGAGAAGGCTGGTCCACAGGGGGAGGGAGGAGAGAGAAGAGAGGACGGGGGGGGGGGGGGGGCTCACCGTGTTTCCTTTCAGAATTGCTTTTATGGTGTAACTTCAAACGTTGACCTCCCACACCCCCCGCCTCCTATTCACCCCACTCCATCCGTCCGTCCAGTCGCCCCTCCCTCCTCTTTTTCACTGTTGTGTACGGCCAAGTGGACAGTAATTGGCTATTCTTTCATGAGGCTGATTTTGGCTTTGCCTAACCCTCTCCTCCACACAGGAAGAGGCCCTTTAGCTGCCCCTTACATGTAACGTGTATGTGAGTACAAAATACCAGATGGTGGGTATCAGGTGGGTTGATGGGGGCTGCTCTGGCATTTCATTCTCTGGAAATTAAGGTAATCTCATCAGATTCCTATACGAGTTGTTTTTTTTAAGATGCTGGATGAATTTCAAATACAAATATGTGAATATTAGCACTTGAATATTACTTACTTTACTAATATTACTTTTCGTATGTTCTTAAAGCTGAAGTACAAAGTGTTCTGGAGAACTTTAAAGCCCTAAAAAGGCAGTTGTCTTGGCAAACTTTAAGTTTGTGACACCAAGGAGTACTAGCTCGACTTATTCATGAAATAAAACGTGCAGCTAAAAAAAAAGAAGGGGGTTGGAAAGGCCTCCAACAGTTTACAACATCTGAGCATATTGTGAGTGATATATAAAAGCCGCTCTACTCTGGCTAATGACTTCTGTCCCTCTGTGGCCTACAGATCAGTGTGTGTTCATTAGTGATGCAGGCGTGTGCAAGAGTGTGTGTCAATTAGTGGGTGGAGGGGATTAGCTGTCTCCAGAGATTCCTAATTAACTCAACACATGCAAGCACAACTATGATTTTTGATGGTTTTTTTCTGAATTTCTGTCACTATTTGCACCTTTTTATCTGGTAAATAACACAAGTTATGTGAGGATGAGTAGGAATGGAAGGGAAGTTGAAGGCCAGATCAAGTCCTAAATGTCAAGGCTTCATGGTGGCCTCCTCCTCCAGGAGAAAAAAAGAAAAAAGGCACAGACAGCATATACACTTAGACAACAACCAACACACACACAGTGATGGTCACAAGCTCTTAAAAGGTTAAAGATGTTGGCAGTGGACACAACATAAACACAGACTTAAAAGTACAGGGAAGTATGGCCTCGCAGACACAACACATCAACAGATCTGGGGATGATTGTGTTGTCTGACAAACAAAATAACTGCAAAGCTTAAAAATTACAGCCACTTTTACAGCAAAACCCCACAAGAGTTCGAAGTACAGAGGTTTACAGAGGAGAGAGGGGGCACATCCGAGAGTAAGAAGGGGAGCAGGGAGATAAAAGACTTAATGCTGCAGTGTGCCTACCTCTTTGTAGTTCACCTTGGGCTCTAGTCTCTTCCGCTTTCTGCCCTTCCCCTGGTGACTCCGACTGGAGAGAATCCATTTTACAACCTGCGGGAGGGAGGACGGTGGGGGTGAGGTGGTGAGGGCGGGAAAGCGGAGGTTTTGTATGGATAGATAAGTGGAAGAGTAAAAAAATGGAGCATGAGGAGGTGCACAGCACGAGAGAATTCAGAAATCGTCAGAAAAAAAGTGGGGAGATAATCACACATTAATCGTATAACGGTGGGATGATGATGGAGAGAGAAAGGAGGACAGGGAATCACAAGACAAAGAGCCAGCCGTTATCTTCAGTGGCAATTTTTTTAGGATGTTTAAAGAGTCCACAGAAATACTTTTAGTGAGTTAACTGACAGCCAAAAGGTCTACAGCTCCATCCAGCTAACTGGCTCGTATTAACTCAAACTTTTCTACGCTTACTACACACATTTAACCCGACGCAAACAACTGGCCGAGCCAAAATGTGAAAAACAGAAACTCATAAACATAAAGTAGCCTGGCTGTTTTTGTAAGGCCGTCACAAAAACTTAAAAGTACAAATAATCCTTAGGTTTGATTGAAAACAGTCTTATCACAAAAATAGAAGCTAGGATTTGCGAATAAAGGCAAAACAATTAAGAACAACATGGGAGCGTTGTGGGAAATTTGATAGGCAGCACAGAATGACACGCAACAGATGCACAGCACCGTGTGCCGCTTTCACTCGGAGGCAGACAGAGGGAGAGACTGAAGCAGGGAGTGGATGAGAAAAGAGAGGTAAAGAAAGTGCAACAGAGGTAAAGATAAGAGATAGCATTGTAACACTGAAACTAAGCATGCCACGAACACAAAAAGTAAGAAACAAAGAGGGCGAGTTGAGGACAAACGGCAGTAGAATAACTTCCTGTAAGAAAAGAGGCTGATAAAAAGATGACAATCTCATCAAGCAGTTCTGCCTGTAATGTTTCCAGTCTGAGAGCTGCCCGCCACTCCCTGAAGATGAGATGAAGAGAGATGGAAGGAGAGAGGAGGACGAGTACTTACCTCTGCTTTGACTTCTTCCACCAGCCTTGCCTGTGTCCACACGGCGCTCCTTTCATGCAGCCACTGAACAACAGGGAAGAAGGGAAAAGCGGTGAGCCGGAGGCAAACGATCAGGACGAAGTGGAATGCTTCGCAGAAGCAAAGAGAGAGAGAGAGATCCTGAGCGAAGCAGGAAGGGGAGGGAAGGAGGAGAGGTGGGAGGAGAGGGAGGAGGTGGGTGCGCTATCACTTGTTCCTCTGACGGAAACTCGCTACTTGAGTCCAGGGGAAGAGAATAAAAGTGAAGAAGAGAGAAAGAGGATAAAAACATCACCTGGTTTGTATAAGCAACAGGACAGTCAGTCAGCTTAGTCCTCTACACATCCATCCACACACAAACACTCATCATTTACTTACATAAACACACACACGTACAGAGGGCAGCAATGGATACACACACACTGAAAGCTTATTAAAGGTTTCAGCAAAGCCCCTGCTTGAGGGAAGAGCACTGGTTTGTATACGTTTCTGTTGGTGGGTGAAAAGGGAGGCGAATACCAGTAGGTGTGTATAGAAGGAAGCATTTATAATGTTACATTGTACATCCACACACACACACTTACACAAACAAGCGGGAAGCAGCAGCCTCAAGCCGTTTTACACACACACCCCACAGATGTTCCCATGCACAAACTGGCTTACGCAGCATTTCAGCTATCATCGTTACCATAGCCACACACACACCTAATAATTCAGCACAAAAACTGCATGCCAGAGTACTTCTCTGTGACTATTTTACAAAAAGTACTTGAGCAGCAACAGAAGTGCAGAGAAAGGGAGGTGTTAGAGTGGGCAGTATAGAATCCAGTGAGTGTTGAGGCAGTAAATTGGCATTGTGTAACAAGATACCATACATAGCTCTTTTGCTGCCTAGATTTCTACTTCTATTTCCCTCACATAGAAAGCCCTTTGTCCACCTCCAATTCTCTGGCTCCACATCTTTGTGTAGTGTTTCTCTTTGTGAATCAATATCAGACAGCGGGTACACGCTACATCTCACATTCTTAAACACACATGGGAAGCAAATAAATCACGTCACTTGCTCTATTTGAAGTTGTAATTTGTAGCGTGGCGGTGTCTTCACCTCAGAAGGAATGCAAAGAATGAATGGATGCAGCCATTTTTAGGCCCAAGCGGGTTTAAACAGCAGGTACAAACGTGGCTGATTACAGCAGTAACACTCATGTAATAATAATAATAATTATTATTATTATTATTAATATTATTATATACACACACACACAGGTGCTGGTCATAAAATTAGAATATCATGAAAAAGTTTATTTATTTCAGTAATTCCATTCAAAAAATTAAACGTGTATATTATATTAATTCATTACACACAGACTGATATATTTCAAATGTTTATTTATTTTAATGTTAATGATTATAACAGACAACTAATGGAAACCCCAAATTCAGTATCTCAGAAAATTACAATATTATTTAAGAACAATTTGAAAAAAAAAGTTTTTTTAGAATTGTTGGCCAACTGAAAAGTATGAACAGGAAAAGTATGAACATGTACAGCACTCAAAACTTAGTTGGGGCTCCTTTTACCTGGATTACTGCAGCAATGTGGCGTGGCATGGAGTCGATCAGTCTGTGGCACTGCTCAGGTGTTATGAGAGCCCAGGTTGCTCTGATAGTGGCCTTCAGCTCTTCTGAATTGTTGGGTCTGACATATTGCATCTTCCTCTTCAAAATATCTCATAGATTTTCTATGGGGTTAAGGTCAGGTGTGTTTGCTGGCCAATTAAGAACAGGGATACCATGGTCCTTAAACCAGGTACTGCTAGCTTTGGCATTGTGTGCAGGTGTCAAGTCCTGTTAGAAACTGAAATCTGCATCTCCATAAAGTTGGTCAGCAACAGGAAGCATGAAGTACTCTAAAACTTCCTGGTAGACAGCTGTGTTGACCTTGGACCTCAGAAAACACAGTGACCAACACCAGCAGATGACATGCACCCCAAACCATCACTGACTGTGGAAACTTGACACTGGACCTCAATCAACGTGGATTCTGTGCCTCTCCTCTCTTCCTCTAGACTTTGGGACCTTGATTTCCAAAGGAGATGCAACATTGACTTTCATCAGAGAACATAACTTTGGACCACTCAGCAGCAGTTTAGTCCTATTTGTCTTTAGCCCAGCCGAGATGCTTTTGATGCCGTCTCTTGTTCAAGAGTTGCTTGACACAAGAAATGTGACAGCTGAAACCCATGTCTTGCATTCGTCTGTGCGTGGTGGTTCTTGAAGCACTGACTTCAGCTGCAATCCACTGTTTTTGAATCTCCCTAACATTTTGGAATGGGTTTTGTTTCACTAGCCTTTCAAGGGTGCAGTTATCCTTATTACTTGTACACTTTTTTCTACCACATTGTTTCCTTCTCTTAGCTTCTATATTAATTTGCTTGGACACAGAGCTCTGTGAACAGCCAGCCTCTTTAGCAATGACCTTTTGTGCCTTGACCTCCTTGTGCAAGGTGTCAACAGTCATCTTTTGGACAACTGTCAAGCCAGCAGTTTTCCCCTGATTGTATAGCCTACAGAACTAGACTGAGAGACCATTTAAAGGCCTTGGCAGGTGTTTTGAGTTAATTAACTGATTAGAGTGAGGCACAAGGTGACTTCAATATTGAACCTTTTCACAATATTCCAATTTTCTGAGATACTGAATTTGGGGTTTTCATTAGTTGTCAGTTATAATCATGAACATTAAAAGAAATAAACTTTTGTAATATATCATTCTGTGTGTAATGAGTGAATATAATATACAAGTTTCACTTTCTGAATGGAATTACTGAAATAAATCAACTTTTTCATGATATTCTAATTTTATGACAAGCACCAGTTTTCTTCAGATATTTGACAATAGCAATAAGAAATGTGGCTAAATACAGGCTAATTTTTACCTATAATAACACTTTTATATTTATTTACTATTTTGGCATTTGCTAGTTTAACAAATTCATTAACCAAACCTGCAGGGAAAACAATTTACAATATGACAAAGACAAATCTTCTAGTCAGGATAAAATGCCCCAGACTAAGTACAAAATTGCATTATCAGCTTATCTTGGGTTAAGCAAAATGGTTAACTTCTGATGACAGTCTGAAGTTAACAGCAAAGCAAAAAAGCTAACTTTGGACTTTCTCCTTCCAAGGTACAGTGATCACAGCTTTATTTGAGTAAAAGTTGAAATCACAGAAGATGAAACAGTATATTTTCTATTAAGCTGAGAAAGAGACATACTTTATCTAATAAAAATCTGCACTTTTCAATAAATTCAATGTTTTTTTAATCTAAGAAGGCAATTATTGTGCTTGAAATTATATATTTTTATATGTATACAGTATATATATTGTATGTATATATGTGACCCTTTAAGGGGTTGGCAACACTCATTGAAGTTTGTCTTTGTACAATTCAAGACTTGGTAAATCTTCAGATCAAGATCAATATTTGCTCTCCTTATTCTAGCAACAGCCTTCTTACCATCGAATTAGAACTTATTACACAAATTAATTTTACTAATAAAAAATGAAAATCTGTAAAAAGTCTCAGCACTACAAGCTCGTTACAGCACTAGAAGTAACGGGAGTAGAAAGGTAACACTGTGCATCTTTTCGGCTGTGTCATTCATGTGTTTTACAAGTCAAGCATTTTCATTTCATTGAAGCAGTTACAAAGCTGCCTTATAATTCCATACATGAAATGAAAATGCTCAGCCACTTCAAAAAAGTGGCTTGAGAAATCTTTTTGGGTTTTTTTCTTATTGCCATTCAGTAGTATAAAAGATAAATCAGATAAAAATAACGCAAAAACACACCTTACATAAAAGTTTCTTAAATGTTTATTTATTTATTTATTTATTATTATCTGTGTTAAACTCTTTAAATGAGGTATTTAAAAACAAAACTATTCTAAATAAAATGTAAATTCAACCGATTTTTTTGCTATAATGTTCAGCCCTAATGTACATACTGTGAAATCCACCCATCCCTTCATCTATCTCAGTGTTTTAACAGAAAAATGCAAAATATATATTTAACAAACATGCTTTGGAAACTTTCATTAGTGTTTCACTTTTTTTGGACAGCACACACAGTTGAGTTGCTGAAGTCTGCCAGCCAGTATTTTTTTTTTTTTAACAGAGGAAGTTTGAGGAATTGGCAATCCTTTTATACAAGTTTACTCAGACTTCACGATGTAGAAAATTCTACTCCAGTTTCTACCTGGAAGAATAGTTCACAACGACGTGCTTAGATATTGAGCAGCAGCTCCTAAATTAGGCCTGCCATTTAGGAATAGCCTACACAAAACAACTATAAATAATTAATTTAATAGATGTGGGTCATATCAAACTGAAAGTTCTGGCAAATAAAACATGGCATTTATTTAAATACAGCATCTCAATTTAGATTAATCCTCCCAAAGGGAGTGCTTACGTCATCTAAACTCTAAAATAGCACTTCTTATTCTACATGTCTTCCTCCAGGATTGGTGAATGTCATTGTTTATTATTAGGCCAAACCATTTCCTGCCTTTCTCCAGTTCAGGCACATTTTTGAGCGATGGACGAGAGGCAGAAACGATAAAGAGACGCATGCAAATAAAAGAGTTTAACAATGTGTTTGTGTCTAGTGTACACGAAACACGAGAGCTTGCTTTTGTAAAAAGGTTTTAATCGATCTGGCTGATCTACTTAGCCAGTGACTGGCACATAGAAAAAAGTTTATGAAAAGGCAGTGAAGAGCACTCAGCCATTATCCAATCAGACAGGAGAACACAGTGGTCCCTCCACGGTGTCCTTCCCACCCTCAGTGGCCCCTGAAAGGCTCCAGTTACATCATCATAATCTAGGAGGTAAAGGTTCCCAGACAGCAACACAACAACAACAAAAAATTGCAAGCACCCAGAGCGGTAATTAAGACCAGTTACCATAGAAATGGAAGGATTGAAGAAGTCGTTAAATCTAATTGATCGTGTGAGCACATTTGCAATCTTAGAATCTGTGGCCGTGGCTCTTTTTCCAGGGCAGAAGATCAGCTCGTTAAGAGACAGTGGCAGCGCAGAAAAATTGACTTGGGCTCAACAACACAAAAACTAAATCAGCTGCAAATGTTAAATAAAAAACGAAATCTCCAGTTCAGTAAAAGTGTTTCTTTCAGGAAACCTACATACATTTACTTATTTGGTGTGCGAGCTGCAAAAACATATCTGGAAAGTAGTCATCACCAAACAGTTGGTAAATGCCTACTGGAAAATAGTTGCACACCATTTACGCTGAAGTATATTTATAGAAAATCTTATTTAGGTCTAATAGGAGACATAATTTTTATCATGAGAGCTGAATTGCACAGCTGTTCAAAAAAAAAGCTATGGCTCTGTTGCATGAAAGACACTCAGCTTCAAAGGTTTCTGAACATAGACACAGGACTCTTGCTGTATTTAATAATGAAAACGCTATTTTAATTGCATTCTCTACACATGCCTTTCATTTCTAGCCAATCGTTCGGCAATATTTACTGCAATTTAATCTTTCTCCAGACAATTATGACACACTCAGGCAACATTTAGATTTGCATTCATTTGAAAAGAAAATTGCAGACTCTTCATACCTTTGGAATTCCCGGTGGATCAAGCCAGTCAGCGTAAATACCCTGAAGGGTGAGGCTTTTTCTGGAACACAATGACACACATGTTAGTTTTATCCCTATTATTACAGCAGTGATTGTTATTGCCCAAGACAGCATTAAAAAAAAGAACACATATTTCTGGGGAAATGGTGTTGGGGTCGTGGCAGACAGGAGTTTAAGCCATCACCTTAAACTAAATGATGGGCACGCCCACTCTTCTCTACAAGGTCAAGCAAGCAGGCATGTACAGACAATGCAATGGATTTACACATATACATGTGACACAAGCAAATATGCACAAGAGCAGCTAGCGAGAACCGAAGCAGAGATTCTGGACTGCCACACACAGCACCACTGCAGGGACTGAAGTGACTCGCAAAGAAAAATGTGTGCACAAAGTAGTCAGGAGTAAGTATGCAAATTGTATATAGAGACTAGAAAAGTATCCATACAGCATACCTTTCAGCACACGATCAATCCTCCTGCCTAGGCTTAAACAAATAAATAAATAAATAAATAAAACCACTTTCTTGCGCTCGAGCTTTTACAGTGTACCGTGACACTTGGTCCATTAAAAGGGTTGTTTTCTAATAAAAAGTTCTCATTTGCATTTTTGGATCCCCGTTTTCCCTCAGGTATGCTCGTCTAGCTGAGGCTCAGTAACTGATTTCATTCATTCAATGGGATTAACCTGTATAAATAAAGGTTGAATGAATTTGGTAAACATATTTTAAAAGAATCTTGTTCCTTCTTCCCTGCACTGCTTAAACAGTTATAAGAGGCCAAATTATACGCAAGCTCAGTTAATGTTCTTTCTTGTTTAGATTGGTAACTAAACATTTAGCTATCCCGACTTCAACCTCAAACGGAAAGTTCCATTACAAACTGTGTTGCAGACAAGTTGGACATTCAAACTTGATGCAAAAGGTTGTTCATCATGCAAAATACAATTCTATCAGTAAAGGTTATGAATGTGTAAACAAAGAGCAACAGACATATCTACTGACTCGGAGCCACAGCACTGTAAGTGCAGCTAAAAATAATGTAGAGAGACTGGCATTTGTTGCATGGACGAGGCTGTACTTCTTGACCTCAAACACTAACTAACTTCTGTATTTGTTTTAATACAGTACTTTCTGGTGTATAAGCCGCAACTTTTTTCACAAGCTTTGAACCACGCAGCTTATACAAGGCTGAGGCTAATTTATGGATATACACTGTTTCCCCTACCATTATACAAGCGGGGCGCCCCACACCGTCAACGGAATTGAGCGCCCCGTCTACCGAACCCCCCCACCCCCAACAACCTGTCGGCACTGACGTAAGGTTAAACTAGCGGCTCACAATGCAGGTGCACGAGCTAAAAAGCTAAAGGCAGCATTTTCCCTCACGCTGCACCCCCACCCCCATTCATAAACTGGCGGTACAAACAGCGCACAGCTCAGATGTGTCTCTATCCCCCCCCCAAAAAAAAAAAAACCTGTTGCACTGCGCAGCTCAGGACGTGTGTCTCCGTCAATCCCCCACCCCCTGACAAAAATGACTGACAAGATGAGCGCCCCTGCCATAGCGATTTACAGTATAAGGGAAACACCGATATAGGTATACTATATATATATATATATATATATATATATATGAGTGAACACCACAGGTCTTTATGAGGTCTACCTCTCTCACTTGTGGTTACTCTACTAAATGACCTAGCACAAACTAAAACACAATGAACACATAAACTAAGCTATGAAGAACAGACTAGTAATCACTAAAAGAACAACGCTAAACAGCTGACCGAAATAATTAACAATGAACATAAATTTAACCACAATCCTTCTCTGAGGCCATGTAATCAGCAGTCAACCACAATGAACCAATGAGGTAGTCTCATTGAGTCACGAGGACCCCATGACACGTGCATTGATGAGAATACATGTATAAATAAATGTAAAAAAAAACAATCTGAACAAATATTTTAGGATTTATCATGAGAAAAGTTTCAAGTTTTTGCAAAAAGTGATAGACAAAAAAGTGCTTAATGTGACAACTTGTTTGCAATATGTTGATTATTTGATTATCAGAAGTAAAAAAACAAGAAACAAATCAATAATTCACTGTGATTACTGGAAAAGGGGACTTCTAATTTACTTAAATCAAAAAACATAATGATTTTTTAATATTGTTTGTATTTTTATATTCTTTTTTTACTTTAAGAGTTTTGTCTAAAGAATAAGCAGAATGTGTCAACACAACCTTCAACAGTTGGTATTTTAATCCTTCAAGCCTGCTTGTTTTTTGTGCTGTTTACTGACAGAGGGATCCCATCCAAATATTGACTGTGCCAAACTCCCTCTGTTTAATTCAATCAATTACTGCTGGTCCAGCAGCACTCTCCACATGGCAGAAAAGACAAGAAGACAACAATCAAAGCACGTGAAAGGTTGGTGAGGAAGGGGAACATCAGAAAAAGAGCTGTTTAAGGTTGGGAGAGATGATGCAAAATACAGAAAAGGGTAGAGAATGAGTTAAAAGAGACATAGAAGCAGGAAGAGGTTAAAGAGGCAATCAGGGGAAACACAGCAGTGAATGATAAAGCACATGCAGAGAGGAAAAGAGAAAATTAGAGAGAAGGAGAGAAGGAGGAGCAGTTATCCTTTTACACTTCAATTAATACAAGTGGATGAGACCATTCAGTTAACAGGATTGGTGTTTGGAGCTTTTGTTGGCCATGTTTCCACACCAGGAGCAGATTAGGGCAAATCACCAAATGCTCACATATTTTTAAATCAATCTATTAACACAGCTAACTACCCTTGTTAAAAAAATTAAAAAAAAACATCAAACTTAAAACTAAAAATTGATTAGAATGCTACACAAACCAATCAATTTAATTCACTAAGGTATTCTTCACTCTAACTTTATGGACTTACCTCACCATGTGGGAAAAGACAACAAGGAACATTTTCAGGAAATCCTGTTCAGAAAAACAAAACAAAATGACAGAAATGAAGGTAAAGGGTGAGATGTTGGAGGAAGAGAAGAAGAGAGAGGAAGGCATACCTGATCTTTAGTCAAGTGTGCAAGGTCAAACCGTGTTTATGTTACATCCATTATTTAGTGAGCAATTCAATCTGCCAGTGCAGAAACTGGAGCCAGGTGGTACACATCACACACATACAGACAGACCTCCAGGTGTGATACCTCAACTGCATGCCCCCAGCAAAATAAACTTATATGGCAGAGCTGACATACTGAGCTCAACTTTAAATTTAGGATAGAATGTTAAGATTCTGGACAAGATAAAAATATGTAGAGACAAGATTAAGATTCTCCTCTCAAACATGACACTCACCTGAGACAAAACAAGCTGCCCATGGTATTTCTTTACAAATAATCTCAAAAAGTCAATTAGCTGTTGCTCTCCCACTTGGCTGGCCAAGAATCTGAGGAGGAAGTAGCCCTAAACAAAGAACAAAACAAAATAAGGAAAAAACATATAAATATCGCTGCAAATTTGGAGAAACTCCAACACTACAACAAGCACATTTAAAACAAACCTAAAAGAAAACAACAAAATGTATG